GTCCGCCATCTCCGGCGACGTGATCGGCATCGACCTCGGCACCACCAACTCGTGCGTGGCCGTCATGGAGGGCAAGACCCCCCGCGTCATCGAGAACGCGGAGGGCGTGCGCACCACCCCGTCCGTCGTCGCCTTTGCGCCCGACGGCGAGAAGCTCGTCGGCATCCCGGCCCGCCGCCAGGCCGTCACCAACCCCGCCAACACCCTCTTCGCCACCAAGCGCCTCATCGGCCGCCGCTACACGGACAAGGAGACCCAGCAGGACATCAACATCATGCCGTACAAGATCGTCAAGGGGCCCAACGGCGACGCCTGGGTCGAGGCCGCCAACAACAAGTACTCGCCGAGCCAGGTCGGCGCCTTCGTCCTGCAGAAGATGAAGGAGACCGCCGAGAGCTTCCTCGGCCGCAAAGTCAACCACGCCGTCGTCACCGTCCCGGCCTACTTCAACGACGCACAGCGACAGGCCACCAAGGACGCCGGCAAGATCGCTGGCCTGGACGTCGCCCGCATCATCAATGAGCCCACCGCCGCTGCCCTGGCCTACGGCCTGGAGAAGCAGGACGAGGTCGTCGCCGTGTACGACCTGGGCGGCGGCACCTTCGACGTTAGCATCCTCGAGATATCCGGCGGCGTCTTCGAGGTCAAGGCCACCAACGGTGACACCCATCTCGGCGGCGAGGACTTTGACAACGTCCTCCTCGACCACCTTGTCTCCGAGTTCAAAAAGGATCAGGGCATCGACCTCGCCCAGGACCGCCTTGCCCTGCAGCGCCTGCGCGAGGCCGCGGAGAAGGCCAAGATCGAGCTCTCCTCCACCATGCAGACCGACATCAACCTCCCGTTCATCACGGCCGACGCCTCGGGCCCCAAGCACATGAACCTCAAGCTCACCCGCGCCAAGTACGAGTCCCTGGTCGACCCGCTCGTGCGCCGCACGCTGGAGCCCATGAAGAACTGCCTGCGCGACGCGGGCGTCTCGAGCAAGGAAATTGGCGACGTCCTCATGGTCGGCGGCATGACTCGCGTCCCGCGCGTCCAGGAAGTCGTCAAGCAATTTTTCGGCAAGGACCCCTCCAAGAGCGTCAACCCCGACGAGGTCGTCGCCATGGGCGCCGCCGTCCAGGGCGGCGTGCTTCGCGGAGATGTCAAGGACATTCTGCTCCTCGACGTCACCCCGCTCTCCCTGGGACTCGAGACCCTGGGCGGCGTCTTCACCCGCCTCATCAACCGCAATACCACTATCCCCACCAAAAAGTCCCAGGTCTTCTCCACGGCCGCGGACAACCAGACCCAGGTCGGCATCAAGGTGCTGCAGGGCGAGCGTGAGATGGCCGTGGACAACAAGATGCTCGGCCAGTTTGATCTCGTCGGCGTGCCGCCGGCCCCGCGCGGCGTCCCGCAGATCGACGTCGTCTTCGATATCGACGCCAATGGCATCCTTAACGTCTCCGCGCGCGACAAGGCCACGGGCAAAGAGCAGAGCATCGTCATCCAGAGCTCGGGCGGTCTCTCCGAGGCCGATATCCAGGAAATGGTCAACAACGCCGAATCGTTTGCCGCCGCGGACAAGGAAAGACGGGAAATGATCGAGGTGAAGAACGACGCAGACAGCCTCTTGTACAGCACAGAGAAGAGCTTCAACGAGCACAAAGATAAGCTCAACGCCGACCAGGTCGCCGCCGTCGAGTCGGCTATTGCCGAGCTTCGCTCGGAGGTTGAGCGCGACGGCGCCTTGCCGAGCGAAATCAAGGAAAAGACAGAGGCTCTGCAGAAGGCCGCCATGACAATAGGAGAGGCTATGTACAAGGCTTCGCAAGAAGCCAACGCCCAGTCCGATGCCGCCTCTGACTCTGACGCGGGCTCGTCCTCTTCTTCTTCTTCCTCAGAGGAACCAAAGAGTGACAAGGAGTCGCAACAAGAATCAGAGGAGAAGGACAAGAAGGCCGGTGGGGTGTAGTTAACTTTGCGGATTCATGACAGGGGCGGCTGCACCGTTGTTTTTTTGATGTTCTTGTTGTAGTTGTTTGTCGGTGCGTTGAATAAAAAACAAATGCCCTCCAGGTGAGAGGCGATAACTGTACAACGAGAATATTCTTATTTTGCTTTGGGAAGGGTGGGAGTGGAGTTGGGGAGCTTTTTTTAGTCTAATGGGAGGCGTGCAATATTTTCTTTCTTTGTCCTCTACGCTGTTGCTGAAATAAATTCCAAGTTTTCTCACGGTCTTATGAGCTGTTGGACTGCTTCTTGTCCTCCTTTTCTTCCTTGGCAACAGGAACCGCGTCGCTAAACAGAAATTCATGGGTAAACTTTTCCGCCCATTCCTTGCCCCAGTATGTACTGAACAATCCCACCGCAGGGTCTCGCTCAGCAGAGTATTGATCATAGTCCTTTTGCAGTTGGGCGACGCGTGCCATACTCTCCGGGGACGTATCCGGCGTGGCGTTCTTCATCATTGTGATGTAGGCTGTCAAATATTCCTGAAAAGCCGGAAAAAGCTGAGTCATGACGGGCTCGGCGTTGTCAAACTTGGCAAACACCAACTGCTTTGAAAAAAACTGGGCCTCGTCATAAAACCTCGCCGACATGGACCCGGCCAATCCCTCATACTTGAGCTTGATCGGGGCGACCGGCTCGCAGTACTTTTTCAAATAATGCTCATCCTGCGAAAGCGGTTGAAAGTCGAGCACACACAACACCTTCTTCTTTCCAAAGCTAAGAAAGTCAATCCCCAACAGCGGGTGCTCATACTCGGTATTCGGGTACCACACCGAGTTGAACACCTGCGCGTTCACGCCTGCATCGATGTAGGTGGCGCGGATCTTGCGAAACTCCTTGGTCTTCCACTGCCAGCTCTCGATCCTGGCGGGGCGCTTCTCGGACTGCTGGTACGACAGCGACTCCTCGAACGGCAAGTCCTCCACGCCCTCGAGCTTCGACCGCATCTCCCCCAGCTGATGCATGACAAAAGGCATGAACAGAAGCTTGAAGTCGTCCTTGGCGATGCTCTCCGTCCACGGCAGCGCGCCAGCCCGCTCGGAGCTCAGCACGAGCGGCTCGCCGTGCGCCGCCGCCGCCGCCGCCGCCGCTGACATGCGCACCGGCCTGTCGAGCGCGGCCACGCTTGGCCGGCGGGCGCATGGTGACAGCCTTTGCCTGGGCGCGCTTCTTCCGAGGAGGGGGGCTACCACGAATGCCATCGTCGCGCGGGCCGATAGAGATGTGGCGCGATCTTGACCAGGAAAGTCGATGGGTTGATCCTTGGTTTCCGCGAGGCTAGGCTGAACTGGGAGATCCGTGGGATTTGCATGTACTGTACAGTCAAATCAATCGAATCATCCAATGAGCACCTTTACGGTAAACACCAGGGAAGGACTGAAATGTTTCCAATCTCCAAGTGTTCTTGTACACCGAGGACCACCTCAACTTCTATGTTTTATCTTACCGCAAACACATTCCTTAAGGGTGACCCCACCGCCAACAAAATTTCCGTCTTAGCTCTCCCTACTTAAAACATCCATCCCTCCCACCAAGCTCGGCAATATACACCCGAGGACCACCTCAACTCTACGTTTTACCGCAAACACGTTCCTTAGCTCTCCCTACTTAAACAACCATTCCTCCCACCACGCTCGGCAACACTCTCCCCGCACCGAACAATGTCACCTCCCCCCTCCGCTCCCCCCTCTGCTCCCCCCTCCCCTCCACCCCAATGCTCCGCCCTTTACCGCGGCTCGACCACGCACACGCGGCGCAAGCCGTTGGGCAACCGCTTCACGTACCGCGTGTACATGGCGTACGTCGATCTCGACGAGCTGCACTCCGGGCGGCTAGAAAACTGGCCCCTCTTCTCGTCGCGCACGGCGTGGTCGCTGCTCTCGCTGCTCCCCCGCGACCACATGCTCAGCGAGCCGCGCGCGGGCCCCCTCCTCGCGCGCGTGCGCGACGCCGTGCACCGCGAGACCGGCGTGCGCCCCGCAGGCCCCGTCCGCCTGCTCACCAACCTCCGCGTGCTCGGCGTCGAGTTCAACCCCGTCAGCTTCTACTACGTCTTCAACGCCGCCGGCTCCGAGGTCGACACCCTCGTCGCAGAGGTCAGCAACTTCCCCTGGTTCGAGCAGCACAACTACGTCGTCGCCCCGCTCGAGGCGCTGCGGCATGGTAAGGGACTGCGGAGGTTCGCCGGACATCCGAAGGCGTTCCACGTGTCCCCGTTCATGGACATCGCGGGCGTGCGCTATGAATGGCTCGTCGGTGAGCCGGGGGACAGGCTGCAGGCACGCGTTCACCTCAAGGAAGCCGAGGAGGGGACGTTTTTGGCATCGCTCGACGCGGAGAGAATGCCGTGGTCCGTGCGCAACTTGGTCATGATGCAGGTTATGTATCCGTTGCACACGCTGTTCGTTATGCTGGGCATCTTGTACGAGGCGGGCAAACTATTCAAGAGGGGGTTGACCTTCTTTCCGCATCCTCACGGGACAGAGACGGCTCTGTCTATTGCGGTGGCCAAAGTTGTGTTGTTTGGTAATGCCGTCATTGCTGCTTGGAAGGGACTCACGACGCGTCCTGCGGCTGCGCGGCGATGACGAAGAAGCCGATGCAATTTGTGTAGCTTTATGTAGCTGTCTGTATCAACGTATGTGTATAAAAGTTCGAAGACGCTGATGCAGTTGGTTTCAACTTGGTTTCTCTGGACTGCGAGGTCCCACAGGGCAGGATAAACTACCGGGGCAGGTGCAAGGTGGTTGTGACGGGAGGTCGGGGAATTCAAACTGGGGCGTGCTACCGCGGTATGTGTGTGAATTGGCGCAAATTGAATACTTTTCAAAAACGCCGCAAATCAAAACGCTCCTTCGTCTTCCCCACCTACTTCCTCTCCCAACCCCCCCCCGGTAATCCCCGCTGCACTGATCCGTTGCCTGCACCCTTCGTTAGACCCTCATTCTTCACTCGCGATCCCCTCCTCCGTCCGCGCCTCCAAGAATGCTATCACCCTCCCCAAAGCTAGGCGGCCAGGGCGAGCCCGCCCCCGCCGAGCGTCTCCCCAACTTCCTCCTCTCCTCGTCCGCCGCCCCCGGCTCCTCCGTGCGGTCCCCCCCGTCCCAATTCCCGTTCACACCCTCCCGCACCCCGACCCGCGACTTCGCGCCTCGCTCCGCCGGCAAGCCGCCCGCCGGCGACATGACCACGCCCCCCTGGACCTTCCAGCGCCGCCGCCAGGGCCAGACCGTCGCCTTCAACGACCGTCTGCGCACGCCGGACTCCGCCTCCGGCCCCGCCGACCCCGCCGCCGCCGCCGGCCTCACCACCCCCGACAGCCACTTCTCCATCAAGACGCGCCGCGGCTCCGCCATCGGCATGGAGCCCAGCCCCACGGGCTCGCTCCGCACCCCGTCGCGCATGCCGCCCAACAAGTCCCTGCTCGACAGCGGCCCGCCCTCCGTCCTCTCGCTGCGCTCGCCGTCCCCTTCCCCTGCGCACCAACTGATCACCCCGGCCTCGCTGGCCCACCGCACCCCGGGCTCCGCGTCCCCCGCCGTCCCAGGCCTGGAGCGCTGGGTCACGGTCTTCGGCTTCTCGCCTGCAATGGAGAGCCAGGTGCTGCGCGAGTTCCGCAGGCATGGCGAGATCGTTCGCACGGTCGCGGGGAAGGGCAACTGGGTCCACGTGCTGTATCGCACCCCACTGCAGGCGCAGGTGGCGCTGTACAAGCCATGGCGGATTCTGGCAGGCACGGAGACCATGGTGGGAACGGTTGTTTGCACGGAGCCGCATGTGGCGAAAGAGCAGGAGGAGAACATTGAACGCGGAATGATGCTGGCATCGCCGGCGGGGAAGACTCCGAAGGACGCAATGGCGGGAGTGAGAAGTCCTGGCCAGCCACACTCGGCGCTGCGAACGCCCGCGAGCTTGCTCCGACGGGATCATGCCATGTCGACTGGAAGCGCTAGAAGTATTGTTAGAACGCCGCAAAAGCAGACGGGCTTTTTGGATTACTTTTCAGGACTGTACAAGTAGGAGAAGAAGAAGAGTCTTTCGTCACGTTTTATATAGCGCTCTGCGTTGCACCCAAGCCTTCATGGACGCTCTCAGAGTACATTGCATCGACTAGCGAAAGTCTCAGTGTGAAGAGATTCGTACAAAACTAGGACTTGCTAGGCGCCTACTTGATGTGCACATCAACTCTATGAAAGGCACGGCATCGGGCGAGAAAGTAGGACTTGCTCGACACCTACTTGATGTGCACAAGGAGCAATGTAGATAGACATGTCAAATCCTATGAAAGAAGACAAGGTATCGGGGTTTAGGAGATGCAAGAAGAGCTAGGAGGTTTTGAAGGGACCAATTTTTTGTGTAAATCAATGGAGACCTGCGGCCCCGCTGCTCTCTTGTGCCAAAGCAGCTCGCTTGGACGCCCAACGCATTCGTCACCACCGCCGCATCCGCCTTGTCATCCGATCACCTCTGCTTCACACGAGACAGATGTCGGCTCTCGCACTTCTCGCTCGCAGAGTCTTTTCCTCGCGGCTGCGCTCCTTCTCTCGCCCACTTTCAACCAACCCGGCTCCTCCCCGCACGATCGACGACGTCAACAGTCTCTTCGCAGAAGCCCGATTGTCCCTACAAGAGTAAGGACGCTTCGTATCCCATTCTTATCCGCCCGTCCCGACCTCGTCGCCCATTTTCTGTGCTCTAACTCTTCCTGCCCCCACGCACCACAGCGCGCTTGAGTCGAAGGGCACCGTGTACTTTGTCGACGACTTTGCAGACGCCAAGGAAGCCACGCAAGCCACCCTCAGCGCATTCGAGGCTCTCCTGGAAGAGTCCTCCGCCGAGCAGCGCCAGTCCCTGCTGGAGGCAAACCGCCCGAAGATGGCCCAATTGGCCGAAGAATTCCGCCAGCTCGAGCACGAGCTCATCCACGACGACTGATCCATGGACGACCTAGGCGACTACTCCGATTCCTCCGAAAACGAGGAAGCACTCCCGGATCGGAAGCGTCCTCCACCGCCGTCAGACTTGCTCGATGACGTGAGAGGGAAACGGCCTCGCCGGGGTCAGCTCGCCCTTCCAAACGTCGTGCCGGTGCGCCTGAGGGAGGACAAATTTCTCGTGCATGTTTACTTGCCAATCGCGCACGCTCAGTTGGATGCGTTTGTGAACAGACTCATGGGCTTGGCGCGATTGCAGCTAACTGGTGGGAAGGTCAAGGCTGCCTTTGCCGCATTGACAGATTTTCATGTCACCATCGCGCGCCCGGTTGTAATTCGAGAAGCCCAGATTCCCGACATGGTTGCTGGACTCAACAAGGCCATGAGGGATCGTCCTCGCATCGAGATGCGCCTTCGTCGGAAAGTAGAAGCTTTTTTGAGTGGCAACGGGCGCCGCGTTTTTGTTGCCGCTCCGGTGAGTCCAACGACGGAAATCGATGTCGTGGTGGACTTGATCAAGGCTGTCGACAAGCAATATGAAAAGAGAGGACTCCCCGTTTTCTTCAAGAATCCAAGGCCGCACATGTCCTTTGCATCGACTGAAGTCATTGAAGTGCAGTCGCGCTTTTGTGAGGCAACATCGCGCCCTGATTCAAGTCCAGAAGAGGGTGCACTTAAAGTAGTTGTTAATAGAGTTGAGTGCATGATAGGGAAGTCGAAATATTACTTCCCACTGCTGTGAGAATCATAACTAGACTACAGACAAGAAGAAAAAAAAGCACTACCGAACAACAGTATCATTCGTTTCTGTCGCCGTCCAAGCCCGTAGCACTTCTGCCACTGACCACGCTTGCGCGATGCAGCCCCTCGCCCGATTCGGTGGATCTCCGTCAAAAAGCTCGCTTATCTGTCCGACGCCCGCGTCGTTGAGATGCGATCGCAACAGCGGAAGTAAATACTCGCGGGAGAGATCTGCGTTATTCAACGCTCGCATATGAGCCAGAATGAAGGGCCCCAACAGCCAGGCCCAAGCAGGACCCTGGTGATATGACATGTCCCTTGAAAAGATATCCCCAACATACTGACCCCTGTACTGCTTGTCGTCGGGGGACAAGGTTCTGATACCATTAGAAGCTAGTAGATGCGTCGAGCAAGCCTCGACAACCAAGAATCGTTGCTCGGCAGTCAACGGGCTCCAGTTGAGAGATGCGGCAATTAGTTGATTCGGACGCAGGGCGGAATCTTTGCTGTTCCTTTGAGGTCCTCCATCAATGACATCATAGCAATATTCCAAGTCATAATTCCAGAACTTGTCCTGGAACGACCGTTCTGTTTTGTCTGCCATGGCCGTGAAATGGTTGCATTCATCATCATCCTCAAGTTCACTAGCGAAAAATGCCATGCAGTGCAATGCATTGAACCAAAGAGCGGCCAGTTCCACGGCTTTACCATCACGAGGTGTATATACAATATCTGTCTTCGCATCCATCCAAGTTAATGCGAGGCCTTCAGCACCTGCTTGTAACAACCCGTCTTCGTCTTGCAAGATACCAAATCTTGTTCCAGAGCAGTGCTGCGATATGATGCCACGCAGTACTTGGTATAGCTCTAAAAGAAGCTCTAAGTCCCCTGTGGCCATATAATATGCACGGATGGCCTCAAAATACCATAGCTGCGCCCCACAGAAAGCACGAATCCGTTACGCAAATAGTTAGTACATCAACGAGTCACACGGACAATTCCAAAAAGTTAGCGATATTCTGAAAACCTACGGTTCCATCTGCGTTGTTATAATCTTCTTCCGTAGGAGCCGAACCGTCATCGGGAAAACGATTCGGAAGCATTCCTTTGCTTACTGTGGGTAAACATCAAAACGCTCCGGCTACGCAGTTAGCAATCAAGAAATGACACAATAGTCCATGTGATGACATGTGCTGTTTCATAAACGTACCATATTTAGAGAAGGTCTGAAGTATTGATCGCGCCACATCGTAGCGCCCAGTGACAATAGTTAGGCCGGGAAGTGAAATCATCGTCTGAGCAAGGGGCGGAAGGATTCGCAAGTTCAGCAATAGCAATCGGTTAGCATCAACAACAACGCATCCGAACACGATCTCCAGACACTTCTAGCAATCTCAGATAGTGACGAATATGTGCGCCTTACATCTCTTGCCCAGTCAGTGAACCAGTGAAAGCCGGCGACGACCGATCGGCCACCGCCTCTTGAAATAATAAATTGATCCGCCGCCAGAACGAGTTGCTTTATACACGGCTCCACACTAGCCCTTCTTCTCTTCTTCATGGATTTCGGAGAGAGCCTATCATCGAAGATAGCTTCGTTCCACAAGGGCGACAGAGTTTGGTCAGCGAGCGCCGCTTGTCGCTCCGTAGACCTACCCCTCGCGTTTTCAAACTTGTGGAGCAGAGACTTTTCGTAGGCATGCTGCATTGCCAACTCCGCGTCCCCGTCCAGACTCAAGCGCATGGCATCTAGTTCCGAGCTGGCCACAAACGTAACGCAGCCGCCCGGGGGCAAATCGAGAAGAAACGAGGCGGCATGGAGGTTGTCGTCGACTTCCGGTAGGCCGCGTGCGCGTTCCTCGCTCAACACAAAGCCCGTGACCCACTCATTGGTGAGCTCTGCGGTGCCGCTGCTGACGCGCATGCAGAGCGTGGTCTCCTGATGGTCCGGGGTGACGAACAAGACGGACACGGCCGAGCCGTCGCGGCCGACGTTTACCGAGTAGTTAAAATGCGGGCGCGAGGCCGACGTGCGCGAGTGGTGGTTGCGGTGATTAACGAGGGCCTTGACGCGCAGCTGAATCGCCTGTACGGCGCGGCGCAGGCGGTACGTGACGTAAACGGTGTTCTGTCCATGCTTCATCCAGATCCTCTTTTCCAGGAGGGCGTCAGCAAAGGCGTAGCAAAAGACCGGGACGGTGCCCTCCAGCCTGAACGACTCGAGCAGCTCGAAGCCCGCGGGGGAGACGACCTCGTCGTGGCGCACGTCTGCGTGGGACTTGGCGCCGGCGGGGCTATACACGGGGGCGAGCGCGGCGGCGGCGGGGTCGGGGCGAGCGGGTGTGACGGGGACGTGTGTGCGGTAGTCCGGGGTGGGGGCGGCGAAGGCGGCGGGGTGGGCGCGGTGGCGCGCGGCCTGGCGGCGCACGGCAGCGGCGCGGCGGCGGTCCGTGGCCAGGTGGTAGGCGCGGCCGAGGTAGACGACGGCGTCGTTGAGGTTGGTGAGCAGCAAGGTGCGATCGAGCGGCGGGCGCAGGGCGGCGATGAGCAGGCCGTGGTACGAGCGGGTCAGCGACGCGGCCAGCGTGAGCGAGGCGTAGCCGCCGATGCCGTTCGTGACCAGCAGCTCGCGCGACTCGGCCAGCGACAGCTCGCCCAGGATCTCGCGCCCCGCGTACACCACGTCGCAGGGAAGGTCCGTCGGCTGCATGGTGCAGGCAGGGAGGGGGGAAGGCGGGAAGCGGGAGGGCGGGAAGGCGGGGGAAGGCGGAACGGGATAGCAGGGATTGGGGGGTAACTTAGTGCGACCTCGCGAAGTGGTAGTCTCCTCTTACTAAGCATGTAAGAGGAGACAGTGATCCATGGATGATGTGATAGTGTACACGTGGGGGGCGGATGCGCAGTGGCATGCACACATGCACACAGATGCGCGTTTTGCGGCGGTTTTTGAATCAATTTTAGAAACAGCATTCGGCGTGAAGCTTTATAGTAACACTCTCGAAAGCAGCATGACATCCATCATACAGAAGCGAGATTTATCACCTCCCTACAGTCCGCCTAGCCTAGTAGTACCCTTGGGTACTAGACAAGTCGTTGAATAGGATGGATATCATTGGTACTACACAGCCTAGTACGTTGTCTTGCTTGTGAAACTATTTGTGTCACTGCTAAAAATGAAATAGCACCTCAACACGACACTATCAAGGAATGATGCAAAAGGCCCTTGACTTTAAAACCATTTCCAAACTATGATTTCAAAACAATGATGTGGATTTCCACGCCTGCTGCCTTGACTTAAAACACTAAAACAAGGAACAACAACCTAAACAATGGTCGAACCGACCAAGGAGTGTGCAATCCGGCACGGCGACACTATTCACTCGCAAATATCTAGGCACAATCCTTTTTGCTCCACTCCCATTTCGACCGCCTTCTCCTTCACTCAACTGCACGCCCCCCTGCACGCCCCCGCCGCCTGAAAAATGCCTTAAAAAGCATAATTATGACGCCCCCAAAAAAATTACAACCCTTGAAAATCAACCCCACGCCTCAGCCCCACGCCTCAGCCCCACGCCTCACATCTTGCCGTCCTACCTCATCGACACATCGATGCACCTACTTGTCGAACAAAGAGCAAACTCCCCACGCCTGCGCCCCCAAGTCCAACTGCACTGAAATGGCAGTTTGAATTTTTTTTACAGCTGGGCGCAACCGCAGACTGCACGTGGGGAGCCCGATCGCTCCCCCGTGCGGGAATCACGCCAGCTTCTTCCGCTTGAAGAACGACTTGAGAGATAAAAAGTTGAGTAGTCCAGTTATAATAGTAAACAAGCAAGCGACGAAGCTAATCCTAAAAATCGTCGACGACGTGTCCTCGTTCGCCCGATTCAGATGCTCCTCGCGCTCCCTCAGCTCATCGATCTTCTCGATCAAGTCCTCGATATCGTTCTGCACCGCCACAAAGCTGGCGTACACCTTGTCCACGTGGTCCTGCTTGGCGATCCGCGCCGCGGGCGAGTCCGTGCTCGGCCGCAGCGTGTCCACCTCGAGCGTCACGCGCCGCGCCACGTTCGCGGCCGGCCGCACCGCGTGCGCCGTCACCTGGTTCACCACGCAGAACCGGTACGACTCGCGCGTGTGCGCCGACCCGGCCCCCGTCACAAACGAAAACTTCACCGTGTCTACGTTCGCACGGTGGAAGTACACCTTGCCGCGACCGTCCGCCACAAACAGATCCAGCGTCATGTCCCCGTGCCCGGACGACACGTGCACCGTCCCTAGCGTCCGCGTGTCCGGCGGAAGATCCTCGGAGAAGCATTTGCGCTGCCCGAAGCCAAGCTCGAACGTTAGCGAATTAGCCGCGATGGAAGGGAGGAGGAGAAAGAAAGCGCACACCGCCGCGATATCGCGGGCGGTGACCGCGCGGACGTGGCAAGGGGCGGACATGGGGAGAGGCAGGCGGGGGAGAGGCAGGCGGGGGAGAGGCAGGCGAGGGAGAGGCAGGCGAGGGCAAGCACCGTGCGGTGCACTCTCGCGACGGAAAGGGAGGCCGCGGGCAGACAAAGAGGATGTGAGACGAGGGTGGAGCGAAGGCGGGCTGTCCCCAACGCTTGGGCCTGTCGGAAGTTTGGAAGGGCAACTGGTGGGGGGGGGGGTCAAGTGGCGGATGGAGTTGTCCTCGCTGGCGTTGGTGATCCAGAGCGACTTGATTGATTGCTCGATGAACACGTGTTCCACGTTGTGATCCAATTCGAGCGAAATTTGGATTCCAGATATGTCAACTGTATGCCCCGTGACCCGTTGAGTCTCTCGCTCCCTCAGGGTCGTGAGTGTCGCTTCATTTCTCCCCGCCTCCATTTCTTTATTGTATCTGAATGTGCTATCTACATCTAGCTAGAGTATATCTACCGTGCAACCCTTCAACAGCGACGCCTCCCCTCCCCTCCCCTCCCCTCCCCTCCCCTCCCCTCCCCTCCCCCTCCCCTCCCCCTCCCGCCCCCCTCAACATGCCGTCCAATCCCGAAAAAAAGAAGCGCAAGGCTGAGCCCACCCCCATCGAGTCCGAGACACCCACCCCCGCGTTGCCATCCGCCGCCACCAATGGCAACGTGTCGGGCTCCACGTCTGGCCAGCCCGCGCAAACCCCGGCAAGCACGCAGCTTGCGCACAGCGTTCACGAAATCTCGAAAAACAAGTCGCGCCCGAAGCGCGCCCGCACGAAGACCGAGAAAAAAGTCGAAGTCGTCAACACCTCGCGCTTCTACTGCGACTTTTGCGGCACAGACCTTTCCCTCTCGCTCCGCGTTCGCTGCGCGGTGTGCCCGGACTACGACTCCTGCCTCGACTGCTTCTCCGTGGGTGCCGCCTTGCTGCCGCACAAGGCCCAGCATGCTTACCGCTTTGCGGAGCCCGTCATGAGCTCCATTTTTCAGGTCGGGTGGAATGCTGATGAGGAGGAAAAGCTCCTCGAGGGGCTCGAGGCCTATGGCATTGGTAATTGGGAGCAAGTTGCGAAAGTCGTCAGGAGCAAGAACCCCTCCGACACGGAACGCCATTTCATGAAGGTCTTTCTTGAGTCTGCAAATGCCCCACTACCAGACCCCACCAAAATGCTACTGCCCGATAAATTGGCCGGCTCGGACAAGAATGAAGACTTGGACCCTAAAGCGTTGCGCGTCATGCACATGCATCAGCAGGAGGACGCCGCTGGATGGATGGAGAAGAGGCAAGATTTCGTCTACGAGTGGGACAATGAAGCTGAAGACATTATCGGTGATATGGAGGTCGCCGAAGACGATTCGAAATCCGACAAAGACGTCAAAGCACAAGTTTTGGAAATCTATGCTGCCAAGCTAAATGAGCGCTCGCGGCGCAAAGAGCTGGTACTTGGTCGCGGCCTAACCAATTTCAAGGGCTACTTAGCAACTGAGAAGAAGCGACCAAAGGAAGAACGCGATCTTCGAGAAAAGCTTCGCGTCTTCATGCGATTCGTGCCTCACGATTTCATGGAGAGTTTTATCCGTGGTGTGCTGGAAGAAAGGAAGCTTCGTGCTAAACTCGAGCAACTGCGGCTAGGTCGCATGCACGGCGCGCAGACGCTTGAGGACTGTGAGAAAATCACTGCTTCTCTGAAGAGCAAGTACAGGAGTTCCATCAGTGCTGGAGAGGGTGCGACTCCGAGCACGTCTGGCTCGGCGTCGCAAAGACGAAGACGTGCAAATGGTGAGGGAAGTGTTGCCGACAGTGTGGTCAGCACTGCAAATGGAACTTCAACAACAACGGCTGCAAACACTGCCGATTCAAAAGATAAAAAGCCTACGAATGTTGTCGAGATGGATCCTGAACTGTTTCCAGGTGCAGAGCTGCTTTCCAGAGTGGAGTTGGGGCTGTGCCAAACTTTGAAAGTCACGCCCCATCAGTACATGATTGTTAAGGAAATAATGATTAGAGAAAGTTCAAGGCTGGGTGGACTGAAAAAGAAAGACGCAAGAGCAATTGTTCGTCTTGACAAAATGAAGGTCTCCAAAATATACGAGTATTTGTTGGCATGTGGCTGGATTAAGTCGACGGATGGCAGTTCCAATGCGTCCCGACACTCGGTCATGAACAAGCCAGCCCCAAATGGAACCAAAGTCTGAAGCACAAGTTGTGTTATGCGGAGTCCATGGGACCCGGAGCCAGTGTTTCAACATCGATAGAGAAGTAGCCCCTCGTCATAGCATTATTTGATGGGCTCCATACTCGAGAAAACCAAGTTGCCGCTTAAAATTCCTTTTAACATGATGCACGTGTCGAGTACACCGGTTCTCTCTTGGGAGAACCGGTGTTATCTTACAAACCTATCAGAATGATGGTGACCAGCTTACCGTCCTCCTTGTTGCAATTTGATCGATCAATGTACTGAAACTCATCAGAATTCAGAGAAGACTTCGTCGTTCGAAGCCAGGCACCAATCTTTCGACTAACACAATTGGGTGCAGGTCTAGAAGGAAGAGAATGGGCGGGAGAGATAGTGTAGTAAGAAGAAGTGAAGTTTCCCTTCACCCTGTCTGCATTTGGCATGAGCACCCCTGAGCACCGAAGCGGATAAGTAAGGCAAGCGGTCGCACCGAAAAAAGTCGCGATCGAGGATTGTTGACTAAAAGAGGCACTACATCGTTATCGCAGCGCACGTAGAAAGCAATTTAGCCTCAAAGACTGATCTTTGGTGGAACGGCACGCACGCCTCGTTTTCGGTCTCGAATTGCAATGCATACACGAGTGAGTCGTATCTCGAGAATCGCTACGGCAGCCCCGCCAGTCGTGCACCCTGATTCAGCGCTCTCATGGGGCAGAGCACGAACATAAAGCGCGGGTGTAATGCTCGGAGTACAGTCGCCCGGCAGCACGTCTTCTTCGATATCTTGAAAGCGCCACGCCACGCCACGCCTTACATCGCTGGTCTGCTAAACTTTTTGGCCAACCCCATGAAGTACGCGCTTATATTATGAATTCTGCCGGGATCGCTTGCGGCGAGTTCGTCTAAGGCGGCGCACGCTTCTTCGCTACGCATACTTTGCAACGCGCCAATCGCCCGAGCATCAAATGTTGTGTCCGAGATAATGCCCCGCTCTGTCATACTGTAGAATCGCTCTCTTACCGATGAATCCATGCCGTCAAGAGCTTCGCGAACTTCTCTTGCTCGGATCGGATCAGCTGGCTGGGGCACTGCAGATCCGTAACTGGGCGCCATTGCACTGGGCTGAGTGCCATATGGAGACAGACCGTAGGACGGCGCCGCGGGAGCCGCTGCGTACCCCCCTCCATAAGCTCCTGTTGGCGGAGCGCCGTATCCGCCGGTGGCGTATGGAGCACCGTAAGCGCTTGTAGTTCCATAACTCGCGCCATAGGCGCCGCCGTAACCACCGCCGGCACTATAAGTGCTACTTCGTTGTGAAAGAGATCGCGCCTCTCCGTTTGCAAACTTCTTGCACAAGCCCATGACATATGCACTCGGGTTCCGAACCCTAGCCGGCTCAGGCAACTCTGCGAGAACGGCGAGTCCATCTTGTTCCGGCAACCGTCGCAAGGCTTCAAGCGCACGGTCATCGAGAACATTTCGCAAGAGCGTCCCGTTGTTGGCAAGCTCATCCAAGCGCTGATCGAGAGCCGAGAAGCTACCCTGCGCACTAGTGCTTCGCCCGTAACCGTCAGACGGATCGAAGCCCGATCCATAGTTACTGGGGACCGAGTCTGGACCCATTCGGCCGCCTGGAGCTCGAGAGTGGCCTTTGTACTTTCGAGCAAGCCCCATCCAGAAGGCCGAAGGGTTTCGCACGCGCCCCGGTTCCATGGCAGCAAACTCCGACAATGCGCGCACGGCGTCTGGCTCAGCCAAGTCGACGAGAATGTCCATGGCGCGGTCATCGAACTGGCTCGGATGACATACTCCAGAGGTAAACACACGCTGCAAAGCGTCCGACACTGTTGGCGGTAGATGGGCAAGTGCGGATGCTGGTACCGACGTCGGGGGAAACCCGCCCGGTGGCGGACCAGGTGGGGGCTGAATGGAGCCGCCCCCTGCGATAACACGCTTGAATATGCTCATAATAAATGCCGGCTTGTTCCTCACCGTGGAAAAGTCGCGGCGTTGAATATCTTCCAAAGCGGCTAAAGCCAGTTGCGTCGACACACTTCCCAGAAGATCTAGGGCGCGGCCATCAATATCGCGCTGCTCAAACAGACCCGAAGCAAAGATGCGCTGCAACACATCATCGACCTCAGGTGCGACACCTGTCGGGGCCATCGCATAATGTGGGGGTGCCGGGGGCGGAGGATTGAGGGAACCCGGAGGTACGTCAGATGGGGGCACGGGAGCTTCACGATCTGGGGCCGGAGGTTCCTTGGTCTCTGCTCTGCGCGGGGGCCGGACACCGTCCAGGCTGTCGATTTCTGCTACACGGGGCCCGCGGCGGACAGCGTCATCCTCAGCGTCAGGATCGCGGTCGGGTGGCCGCGGCGAGGAGGACTTGTCGGAGCTGTTGCGGGATGTGGGATCGGCGTCCGGCGGCGGGGGCGGGGGCGGGGTGGGGGTCTTTTCTGTCGGCTGGGCGCCATTCGGCGGAGACGAGGAGGACGAGTCGTCGACCTTGCGGCGCTTGGTCGGGGGCGAGGGGGAGCTGCCCGCTGACGGGGGGTCGTCGTCTGACCTGCTCATGGGGTGGGATGTGTGAGGGATAGGGCGGCGGAAGCGGGGTGCCAGGGGAGCGTGGTCAAACAAGGACGGCAAGTTTTTGCCGCCAAGGGGACGGCACAGGGCGAGAGAGGGCTGGGCGGACGAATTTGGCGCGCTGGCCATTTTGTGCGCGCCGCCGGAACAAGGCGAGCTTCAGTCACTTTGGAAGCACTCAAAATACTGAAAATGTTTCAAGAATTGAAATGTTTGGTGCAGAATTTCATAAATATTCTCGAGTTTGGCCACCTGCACACGTGTAGGCTTCATCCGGAACCCTCAACATGGACGGGAACAACTTTTTACACCCCCGGGATCTAAATCCCCTAACGGCCCTTAGATGATTAGATGAAGGCCCTCCGTTAGGAACGGCCCTGAGACCCCCCGGATCAATGGCGCGTCTCCCGTCTCCCGTCAGTGGCGGCCTTCCCAAATGGTGGATTTTTGATCCGCAAGCTCGTCAACCGTCCTCATCGTCGTCGTCAACAGGTGTCGTCAACAGGCGCCGTCAACAGGCGTCGTCCCCCGCTCTCCCTCCCCATTTTCATTCGCATCTCAGCCCCGCCATTTCACAATGGCCTTCCTCTTCCCTCCCCCTCCACCGCCCCCCTTTCATCTGGGCACATTTCCCAGCCCCTCCCCTCAAGGCCCCTCTCCCGCACTCCCCATCCGTCGTCGTCGCACCCTCACCCCCGCTTTCACCATCTCCAACCCCTTCAGAAACCCCGATGGAAACACATTCCTGGGCCGCGTCCACGTCCTTGAGCGCAAAAAAATACCCCTCTCCGTCATCGACTCAGCGTTTGCACCCATCGCCAAACAGAATGTCAACCGCAAGCAAGTCGACGCCGCCATCGACGTCTGCAATAACTGGTTTACAGAAAACGGCTACCCGTGCTCCCGCCTCTCCATCGTCACTTACCCTTCGATTTTCAACCGCACGCTCGCCCTTTACTCCATTGAGCCCCGCCTGCACGCCATCCGTCTTGTCGCGGTCGACAGCAACGGCAAACCCGTCGAGGGCGCCTCCGTCGTCACAAGAGTCGACCTGATCACCCGCGTCCTCGGCATGAAGCGGGACGACATTTTTAGATGGACCGCAGAGGGCTTCGCTTCCCTTATGGCCCTCGGTATTTTCGAGTCTGCAGACGTTCAAGTCAAATCCGTTTCCGCCGAGCGCGTCGAGCTTGTGCTTAACGTCAAAGAACGCCCGACTTGCCGCGTGGAACCGGGCGCTGGCATCACTTCCGACGGGCGCATGTACGGGGACGTCTCCTTTCTAGACAACAACTTTCGCGGAAAAGCCCAACGCATCCGCATCGAGTGGCAAAAGCGCTTGGACTCCCCCCGCGCCGCGGGCTGTGTCGCCTTTGAAGATATGCGCATTGGCGCCAGAATCCCCTTCTCATACAAGATTCGTGCGTTCCGCGATGCCAATTCTTCGAGGGGGGTGCCGGCTACCCGCTCCATCGGCCTACGCAGACCATCAGGCGATGATGAAGTTACTCGTCGCGGGATTGAGACCCCGCTCAGGTATGAGAAGGATCGCGACGGCGCCATGCTGGAGCTTGGGTACAGGCCGGGCAGCGGCAACTGGTTGTTGTTGCTCAACTCGGTCGCGGAGAGCGTCCAGGCGAACCCGTCAGAACGCGCCACGCCAGATACGTCCATTTTTCAAACCGTCCTGCAAAGCAGTATCGCACACATGACGCGCTTCCCCATCGATTGTCCTCGGTCTGGGCATATGCTCAACGTGGAGAGCTCAATCGGGAAGACATTTAATGAGGCCGGCACGATGTTTCGCAACACAGTTGTCCGGCTGGCACAATACGTGGGGGTGGGGCCATACGCTTCTATTGCGGCAGGTCTCAATTTGGGGATCGGGTCGGATAATCTACCCTGGCATGAACAGAAATCGCTGGGGGGTGTCATGAATGTGCGCGGTTATGACTATGGAGAGCTGGGACGGTACAAGTCGTTTGGGACGGGGCGACTTGAGCTTAGGGTACCGTTGACGCGCGGTGCTCTCCCGGGGGCAGTTCCAGAAGATGATGAGAGCGAAAACGAAAAGGACGGAAAGCAAAGCGACACCAGTGCCGGCAAGGACATCGATAAATCTGCTACTCAACAAAAGACGAGTGGCACTAAGGGAGGCAGCGAAAAGACCCCCGCCGTCCAAAACGACAAGGGGGCTAATGCAGAGAGTGAAGACAGCACCTCTGTATCGAAACACGTGAATGATGCCCCAGCGAATCGATCTGGAAAGGTGATCTCACCCGGTTTGCTGGACAGCTTGCCGGCGTTAGTGGGTGTTCTGTTTGGGGATATTGCCGTCTCTAATGAACAGATACGAGAACCGATTGGGATGAGCTACGGAGTCGGTGTTCGCATTGGAGGCATAATCACGATGAACTGGACAAGGACGATGGACGGGAGAAAATCGCGACTCCATTTTGGGTTGATCGATAGAAGTCTGTAAAGGTAGCAGTGCGATCTTGCCAGTTAAGAATTAAGTATAAATCCCCGGAATCATCCCACATGACAAGAGCTAGTTCTCGTACTATCGCTTGCGTTCTTGTTGCCAACGGTAAACGGCAGGCGCTCCTGTCGTAGAATTCGCTCGTCTTTCCAACACACGACGCCCCTTGCTCAGCAGAGCCTTCTCCGAGGCCATGTCCTTCAGCACCGTCCTCAATTTTCCGTGCCGCTCTTGCCGCTGTTGCAATTCCTTGTACGCTTTCTTCGTCGACCTTAGCGTTGCTCGATGCCCTCCACCACTATGTAAGGAGCCCGTCCCTTTCCGCTCACTCAGCTCCTTTTCTAGCCCCGCCATCTCCTCTTCATCATCCACAAACATGACATGCGTCCTGGGGACGCCCGAAGCCGCCGCTACACCATGCAGACTCTTCTTCAACCTGTCGACTCTCCTACCTTCCATTGCGCATTTCATTCCCACATATCCACTATCTCTCCTCTCAGCGAGCAGTCTCATGCCCGCCTCTCTGTGTTCGATCGGAACGGCTTCCTTCTCCTTATCATTCACACCCTTCCTCACTCTGCCAGCATCCGTTCCACTGCGTATCATACCATAGTAGAACTCGTCGGGATTGCGAAACGCCGCCTTCTCCTTGAGGATTTTCAGGCGACGTTGTTTGAGGTTGCGGTCGCGCGCGCGTTGCTTATAGTCCTTCTTTTTCTCCAGCAGGCCATGCTTTGAGATACGCGATGAGGGCTGCGCGCGCTCTTTATGCGCACGCCGAGGGATTATGTTCTTGCCGAAACTAGACATCGCGAGAAATGGCCGGTGAAGGTGCGGGGCCGGCTTTCTCGTCAGTCGGGTTTGTGCTTCGAGGGATTGCAGAGACTGGCCATGACGCTGGCAATCATACTGGCGTTTATACCCCCCACCGGCGGCGTCCTGCTGAACAAGCGGGTTGGCATTTCACGCCTCGATCTGGATTACAGCGAAGGCGTGCACAGAAAATATTCACCATTGGCTGATGGAAATCAAATAACCCAATGAAGTACGGCCAACAATAACTAACACTCTCCATTGGCTACTGAGACGGCACCTCATTCTCAGCTTCCGCTGATTGGGCAGCGTCTGGCGCTACCAAAATCAATCGAATTAAGTTAAAGGGGGGTGCCCCAATTATTGAACAAAACGAACTTATTTAATTAAAAAAAGACCCTCCTGAGCTCGGTTTGACGATCTTCTTTTTCTACGGACTCCGTGAGGTGCGTTCTTCACCACAACGTTGCACCGCAATGCCGTCGATGACACAGAAAGCTACAAAGTTGTCACAGACGCGCAGGCAATCACAGGTTTTCTACATGTCAAATTTGCCCCAAAGATCGAACAAACAAAAAATTTTGGCTAAATGTTGGCATCGGGGGGGCGACAGGGTGTTTTTCTTAACATATAAGGGGGCGATTCTATGGTTTCTCCAGTATTGGGAAGGCGACTGCGAAAAATATGATCCAGCAGTAGGGCGAATCTTCAAATAGTTAACATATGCGGGGGGCGATAAAATGATACGATAAGCGACATTTGCACATGGTGCTGTTTTACGGGGGCGAAAGTGACATTTTTGGAAAAAACAGGGGGCGATTTAGAGAAATGTGATTATGTAGGGGGCGATATGTCACTCTTGTGATATAGGAGGGCGATTGAGCGTATAAAAAAGCTACGTTCACTGCGGCACATCATCAAAAAGTTGCCTTAAACTGCAGTCTCGAGCTACGTGCCCTTCGAGATGACATAAAGAGCACTGATAAGATCGACGCTTAGGGGCATTAGGCCCACGCTCGTACCACCCTTTTCGGCGTTTTCCTGCATTCTTGACCGGTCTTTCACGGGGTGGGGGAATGGCCTTGGGAACCTGTACATTGTTACCAGACACAACCATTCTCTTTGCGGCTAAAATGACATCATCCACATCGCTCTGGTGAGGAAGAGCAAAAAACACATTCTCGTACTGTGGTCTCCATGACACTGTTAGATGTTTGCGGTCGATAAACTTGTGCAAGTTTGCACTTCCATACTTTTCACAAATAACAGCGACTCCGTGATAGCATGAGAAGCCCGAACTACGTCGAGAATGCGCACAACAATCTGGTGGGACTTGGGATTCACCGCTCAAATTGACGATGCGTGTTGAAGATCCATCTACTTGACTACGTACTGTAGCCTCCATTTGCGGAGATCCGTCTATAAATTCCACAGAGAGGTGATAGGCTCGCAATCCCTGTATGAGTGATGCAAGGTGCTTCTCAATGTACGGGGGGACAGGATTTTTGCAGGACAGTGCGTCAGCTTGACGCCTCAAAAACCCGGCTCTTTGAGTAAGTAAAACAGTTGTTATCATTTTTTGAGGTTCCACACTTCGTATGTTATTGCGCAATGCGGCAGCCATCTGGCTCTTCGCCCCTTGTGATGTGCGAACAAGATACGTGAAGGTTTGAAAAGGCAAAGGACAGTTCAGAATGGTCGAATTTTATTGACATGTATCGGATCCAGAAAGATGCGAGCATGCTGAAAACATTCCCTATATGCCCTGTAAATAGACTTTTCTTGGTCAACGATAGTAGTTCAAGAAGGTACATCAAATCCATCGATAGCTGCACATGCTTGAAAGATACTCCGCCACGTTTCGAGACACTCTGGACCAACAAAATGACCAAACACCAACGGAAAAAGGTGGTTGTTACAGTCATACGCAACCACTTCAAATGTAGTTCCGTATGACTGAGGACCGACGCCATCGCAATGTGCAGCATCAGCTGCACAAGTAGTCCTTCCCGTTGCACAGATATGCTTCGCGACAGAGGGTACAAATACAAAGCCTCCATAGTACCGCCCATGCTCATCAATATCTGAGCAATCTACGACATCCGCATTGAACAATTCCTCGTCAGGAATAGTTTTGGCTCTCTTGCACTGAGCAAAAATATGACGCGTTGCCTTCAGCCTTTGCTCCTTCATCTCTAATCCGTTTAGTATAAAAATTTTGACAGTGTGTCTAACGTCCTCCAGAAGCTTCGTGTAGCCATCCATGGCTGCCATGTTGACAGCCCTTGATATTGTTAAGTGTCTCATTAACTCACGACGTATGCTACGATAGTGAGTGTAGGATGGTTGGCGCTGGTAAATTCCTTTTGCTTTCACCACGGCAGCGATGGCCCTGGAATTTATATTTGGTATGTTCGAGGTTTCTTCTAAAATGGCCCTCGCGACTTGTTTCGCAGTATAAGCGGGTGCACAGTACTGCTTAGCACGCGCTGCGCGCCTTGATGACGGACTTGGCCCAGGAACTGGAAGCTCTTGCCCAAAACACTCATTATTATGTTCCTGGTGTTTATTGAGCTTCCAGTTCCCGGACTTAGGCTGCCAGTTGAAAGCAATGACCGCATTGCAACGCTTATTACGGCAGCTCATTTGTACTTTAGTCGTGGTTTGGTGAATACTGACCCTTTTCTGCACAGCAAGGTGTGCAGTGTGAGCCCTTATGAGCTGCTCACACTTCCATCTGGCATTGAAAGACATCCCAATCACTGGGCAGACAGGTATGACCCTTCTTGGTTTCCATGTCCTGGAAGCCAGTCTCTCTGCACGTAGAGCCAATTTTGCCCGCTGTACCGCTCTTTGTTTGGATGCCCGTTTTTGCTGCCTTCTTCTTGATAGTGCAGAAGTATTTTCTGGGACAAGTTCTTGAGGACTGTCAGGATTCGTGTTTGTAGCTATTTCTACGGGCACCTCCTCCTCATCGCTGAGACGGGAGTCGGCATATTCTCCCATGTAGTCAACTGGGTCAAATGAATCACTATCACAATCGTCGAAAGGATCACCAAAATCAGAACACGTCTCATCCTCTAATGTGCTATTTTGTTCATCACTGCCTTCTTTCCCAGGAAAATCACTACTTTCACTGTCGTCCTCATTCTGCTCTGGAGCAAATTCTGGTGCATATTCTGGTGCATCGTGCTCAGGAGCTGCCCTGGCCTCATGCCCTGTATTAGAGTTGGGAGGTGGGACGCGAAGATTCAGTTGGATGCGGTGCGGTGCTGCTGGCGGGCGCAGATCGGACGCCATCTTGTGTAGATTCCGCGTGCCTTGTTTCTTGATGCCTTGATTCCTCCACTTCCTCCCGTTCCATCTGCAGCTTCATTTCTTGATTCCGCACATGTCGCCCTTTCGGTGTGGAGCAGCGGTAAACCTAACCCTTGTTGATATATTGAAGTCGTCTGAACGATTCACAGAGAACTGGTTCCGCAAAATAGTCTCATATGCTTCTTCTGTATTGACCTATTCAATAGCTCGAGAAAGGATATTCATGCACCGCTGTGCCCCACGCTTGTCTTTGTCACCAACGCGGTCTGGAGGTACAAGAAGCGCCAACCTGCGATAGCTTCGTTTTATGGCCTTTACCGACGACCCGACGGAAAAGATATTCACCAGAGGGGTTACGTCGATCTCAACTGTAGACAAATGACGAAGCGCGAGGACGGTTTCTTGAGAAATCGTGGACATTTTGGGGAAGGCAAGGGACAGAATAGATACGAGCTCAAGGGGGGGAATAGGGGGGCGACTTTACGAGGAAAAAGGCGACAATGGCACTTTGAGAAATTTCTGGGGGCGATTTGAGTCCTTTTGAAAAAAGTTGAGGGCGATTCTGACCTTGAGTCCAGTCACAGTAGGGCGACAGTGAAAAAGTGACATCAAGTCGCCCCCCCTCTCTTGAACATTATCGAAACCCGCCCTACTGTATCTTGATATTTTGTCAAATCGCCCCCCCGATACTCAAGAAAACCCAAAATCGCCCCCCTCTATGCTAAGAAAAACACCTTGTCGCCCCCTTAACGACAAAATGACCCAAAAATTTTATATCAAAAACGGACAGTGTATGTATAAAACTCGACTGCCACGTCACCAGTTGAAGGCTGCTGCAAACCGAGAAACGGCTCAAACTGCCTCTGAATCCCAATTGCCTTCTTGTTCAAAGTACGCCTGCGCGCAACTGCACTTCTCTCTTCGATTGAACGAACGTTCTCATTGAACGCTTCTACAGATAATCCTGCCAAGCGAGCCGTTTGCCGCAACGCTGCACTGCCGCAACGGTCAAATTCCATCATGCTCTTACCACTCCGCCGGGCACGATCCATGGCTACGCGATTTGCTCTCTCTTCAGAAATTAGTTTCTTCTTCGCGACAGGAGCCCACTTTTCTTGCGCCAGTGCCAAAGCATTGGCCGACGTCAGAACGAGGCCCTCTGTAGTGTCTAGATAGCCAGAATGTAAAATATTGGCGTTGGCCCCGATGACAGTGTCCCTTATCTCCATCCGCTTTGCCTCCATTCGCCGTCACATCCGGTCCACGTCCATTACCTCTTCCAAATTATCACGCCCTGCTGTCCTGAGAGCAGACAGAAGCTGCCTCGGATTCATTGGCCAGATCCGTGACTTACGGAAAGAAGTGATGATTTTTTCCTGCTGAACCATTTTTCGTAGGCATGTCGCATCATGCCCCAAAAGTCTAATACGTCAAATTTGTCTATACTGTCGCGCGACACCACCAAATCCATTGAATCCCTAAGATACTTTTTGAAAGGCGAGAACAGAACGACATCTAGCGGCTGTGTCTTTCCATTGGTATGCGCTGGTAGTGCGTAAACGATTACGTTTTTATGATGTAAACAATTGATTACCATAAGCGGCATATGGGAACGATACTCGTCAAAGATTAGTCGTGTCTTATGACCGTTTGGCGTGTGCTGTTGGACATGTTTCACA